TAGGTAGCAGCACAGTCAACTTCATAACAGTCTAGGTAGCAGACGAGCATGCGCATGTTCTGAGGCTGGTTTGAGCGTCAAAATGGCGAACGTGCTTCACGGGCACACTATCGAAGAGTAACATTTTCTTTTGCGGTTTTCGTGGGCAAAAGGACTCAGTGCGAAGGATATTCGTCAAGGAATTTATAAAGTGTATGGTGGGAAGAGTTTGTAGCATAAAGCTGTTCACAATTGGGTGACAAACGTTTAGATAATAATGAAGAGGTTATAATTGAGGCGCGGAGACAAGCGTCATGCTTCTATGCTACGGGTTTTGACGCACTGTTAAAACGATGGGACAAGTGTATCAGTCTTTCTGAGGATTTGTCGAGAAATAAATGTTTTTTTCAGGTTCCAATATCACACGTTTTACGTTTTATATCCATTTGAGAGCTGTTTACTGACTTTCACTCGTATGTATGTACCCTCCCTCGTATAAAATTTCAATATAAGAAAAAAACTGTTTGACGTTAAAAAGGAGATGTAAGGAGGGGGGGGGGGAGAACAAGTGAAATTTGTATACAACTTTGCAAAATTAAAAAACTTTCTTGACATCCATCCCAATTCAATTTTTTAAATATGAAAAGCGCATCCTAATTGAAAACTGTTAAGTTTACAAAACTTTTAAATTAAATCCGAGTGTATAATATTCCCTTTTGTTTCTATTAGTCTATCTCGCTTACTACTTCATAACAACAATATCATTTATCTTACTTTCACCTCAAAATTGTTTTATTCTTTATTTCCTTTCCTTTTTCTCTATTATTTATGATATCAATAAAAAAACAAATTTTAGTGACGTTTCTTCAGAAAGTTCCTAGACCTTTTTCTTCACATGGCATAAAGTAAAGGCCAACAGATAACAAGAAATACTGATGAATTTATATAATATCTTCAAGAATTCGACTATAACTAAAAAAATATCTCCACGAAATGATTTCCTCTTGAGAAACTAATATTTTCTATAATACATCAGAATTTCTGCATTTTCATGGAATCAAAAGTCATAACCGTGTTCAAGAATCAATTTCCCATCATCCCACACCATCCTTTTAAGATCCACTTTAATATTATCATCCCGCCTATGCCTTGGAACTGAGTGGAACTGAATTCTTAAGAAACAAACAGTCACCCAGCTGGTCATGGTCCATTACCGTGCACAAAAGGGTGCAGAACAGGACCCTATCCAGAGCTACTTGAATCCAGCTCATACCCTCACACATTATTCCTTTGAGATTCATTTCAATATTATTCTATCATCTACGCATAAATCTTCAAGGTTGTCTCATCTCTTGAGGTTTCCGAATAAAATTTCATATCCATTTCTTATCGGGGAACGCGGTAGCGTAGTTGTTTGAGGCACTATGCTACAAGCCGGAAGGTAGCGGGTTCAAGTCCCGATGAGGTCATTGGATTTTTCAATTCACCTAATCCTTCCAGCCGCAATATGGTCCAGGGGTTGACTCAGACTCTTACAAAAATGAGTACCAGGAATGTTCCTGGGGGTAAAGGGCGGCGGGTGTGTAGGGCTGACAACTTCATTGCCATCTGTGAGCCGACTGTCTAGAGAAAATGTGGGAGCCTCGACGTCTCACAACCCTGTGGGCCTCCACAGTCTGCTACAGGGATAGCTTTACTATTTTTTGTTTACTTCTTCAATTTATCATTTCCCCCAGGGAGTGTTACGCATTGTCAATGGTCGGGAATCACAAAATAAAGAGACAAAGAATTGATTCCTAAAGATGTCACCTGAACTAGGTGCAATAGAGGAAAAGGTGTAACGTCCATTTCCGTATATAATACGGGATATACAAACATGGTACAAAGTCTCGGTCCCGTGCGGAGGCGGTGTCGAATACCTCCACCGTGACCCTGCGAGTCGTAGGAGGCGACGAAAAGGGAAGTCTCAAATCTGAAACATGTAAAATATGGTCGCGAGTCTCAAAGGACTCTGACCCGAGAAAGACTGCGCTGGCAAGAGCCAACAGCATATACAACAGACAGACCCGTCCTCTCGCCAGAGAGGGCGCCCCACATAAACAAGACCCTAATTGTAAACAATAATTAATATCTGGTCATGAGCTCCACATGGGGCTCCACACCAAGACTTACTGACTGACTGACCGTCAGTCGCAATGTGACTGGGACTTGGTATAAAGCAGTGTATAGAAGCAGGAACAGGCCGATATGGAGTAGAATGAGAGCCGACTCCGTCGAGATAGCGGGACGGGGACCTGCGGCAAATACACGTGTATGAAAGGAGCAAGTTCATATTCCGGTATTGGTGAAAATAAACGACGAAGCGTCCACACTATTATTATTATTATTATTATTATTATTATTATTGAAGGGGGTGGGTTTCCCCATTCACCGCGACTAATAGTCTATTGTACGTCCCCCTTTGATATTCTACCATTCGCCATACTCTGCTGGTACTGGTGCCCGATATCAGCCCCGTTCAGCCAGCGAGGCTGGCAGTGGTACCCGATACTTCCCCATCTACCGGAGGCATTGGAAACTACTTGGGCGGGAAACTTTGCCTAATTTTGCTCAGAGGTCTCCTAGAGACATGAGGATCTTTTACGTGCCGTAAATCTACTACAGGGGACCAACGGCTTAAAGTCTCTCCCGGAGGAATTGTTGCCTGAATTTTTCCGCCCTTAAAAATTCCACGACCTCCGCCGAGTTTGAACCCGCGTACCTTGAGTCATGACGTGGGAACGTTAGCCCTAGACTACGGAGGCCTCTAAGCGTCCACAGTAAGGGACAACTCTACGAAACGCGCTAAGTTGTAATAAGAAACAATTTAACGAACAGAATTTTTAACATATCTTCTTCTTACAGAGATAAAGAACGGCAAATACATATATTCATGAACGTTGCTTTGACCTTTATTTTTTCTTATTGCTAGTTGGGGTAGGTAAACACAACACGGAGAATCACAAAAATGAATTATCTGAATTTATCCACAAAAAGTGGAGATAGGACACTTTAATACTCCGGGAATGAGAAGCTCTGAGATCAAAGACACCGTATGGATTTTTTCATATAATATTCCAGAATATTGAAATAGGTAAATGATGGGAACATCTTGAAAGAACAGAAGAATATCATAAAGAGAATTTAAATTTCAAATCATGGGATGAAGCACGCTGGACTGGGCTACGGGTGTTTTCAGTGGCGACAGAGAATCCCACCGGGTCTCTAAACCCCTTCAGCTTGATTGATTACTGCTGCAGTAATGTATTATTTATGAACATTTGTTGGTACCAAGACCAGCTTGGCCCTCAAGACCTTAGCCATTTCTCTACGTTATTACGTTGTTTACTGAACTTCAATGAATGGGGTAAAGTAAAAGTAAAGTAAAGCCATCCCTGTAACAGGCCCTGAAGGCCCATAGGGCTGTGAGACGTCGAGGCTCCCACATTATCTAGACAATCGGCTCAAAGATGGCGGTAAGGTTGTCAGCCTTTCGCGCTGGCCGTACTTTACCCTCAGGAAGATTCCTGGTACTCATTTCTGTTAAAGGCTGAGTCGACCCCAGGGCCATATTGCGGCTGGAAGGATTAAGTCAACAGAAAAAAAAATCCAATGACCTCATCGGGACTTGAACGAGCGACCTTCCGGCTTGTAGCATAGTGCCCCCTCAATGAATGGGGTATTCATCGAAAAGTTACAAAAATTGCGCCTGTTAATATCGCCACATCTGTTTATTCCAGTCGTGAACAGTAGAGAAGATACACACTGTGGAAATGTACTAAACTTTGTGAACGCGTCAGAATTTTGGATACAACTGGATATAAGTAACGAACACTTTACGTGAAGAGTTACATGCTTTTCCCTTATTACTATCCCATCCTCGTATCTTTTTTTTTGTCCTATCGATATCATTTCTCTCCTTCCTTACCCCTCCTGCCTCACTTAGAAACAGTTCTCTAGTGTACATTATGCAGGATATCCTACGAGGAAAGGTCAATATTCCGGGAGGTCACAGTATCGGTCATTCTAAGAAAAAAGTGTATATGTACACGTGTCCTATTCTGAACGGTTTCCGAGATAGAGCTGTTTCACTGTACAGTTCCAAAACTGTTGATAAGAAAGAGACATTATTTTTATTTTTATTGCTAGTTACGTGGGACTAAGTCCCTTGTACTGCGGCCACTTCTGGCCTGTTGTACCAGCCCCAGATGATGGGTGAGGGTGATTGTGGAGCAATTGGTGGAATGAAGATTGGCAGGGAAACGAAGTACTCGGAGAAAACCTGCCCCAGCGCCACTTTGTCTACCACAAATCCCACTTGACCAGACCCGGGATCGAACCCGGGCCGCCGCGGCGGGAAGCCACCGACTAACCTCTTGAGCTATGGCGTGGCCAAGGAGACATTAAGTACTGTTTCTAATACCGGTATTTATTGTTCAAGTGGCAAAGTATGTAACAGTTTACCTAGTAGTACGCGGTAAAGTAGTTCGTTGAGGCACTATGCTACAAGTCGGAAGGTCACGGGTTCGTTTCCCAATGAGGTGAATTTTTTCCAGTTTACTTAATCCTTCCAGTCGCACTATGGCACCGGGTTTGACTCAGCCTCTAACAGCAATGAGTACCAGGAATCTTCCTGGGGGTGAAGACCGGCCGGCGCGTAAGGCTGACAACCTTACCGCCATCTTTGAGCCGATTGTCTAGATAATGTGGGACCCTCAGCATCTCACAACCCTATGGGCCTTCACGGCCTGTTACAGGCTTAACCTTATTTTTTACCTGGTATAATACCTTTCCGAAAATTCCACCGTCAACATTAATGCACTTTCAACTCGTGTGAGGATGGCGTGTTGCACGTCTGTACAGTGTATAGTGTACTGTACAGTGAAATAGCTCTAAATATATAAATTTACATTGAATAATAATCCGAGAGTAAATATTAAAATGTCCTTATATCTTACAGGCAAACGTATTCCAGTCGGAAGGCAGGCGATTGCAGCTACGGAGACAGAACAATGAGTAAGTGAACTGTAACAACAATTCTAACATATTAACGTTACGTGAAGAGATGCCACAGTGTTCCACAGTGTTCAGTACTGTCACTGGAAAACCTTTGTCCACTGCCCGGATAGACAAGAATAGCGTAAAGTCCGCTGAAATTTAAACGGGAAATCGTTGCTTCACTGTTACACACTATAGCCCTTGATGAACATTAATAAACCACGTTTTAGCTGATTATACAAGATGTGCGCTTTCGATGTCCTGGAAAGAGTTCTGTATTTACAGCAAAACTTACGCCGTGCCCTGCACCTTCTGATATCATACACTGCGGTCACTGACATGCAAGCCGTGAAGTGGCGCCTCCATAATTTCACGCGGCTTCGTAACGATTTTATTCATACCAACAAATGAATTTGTAGGCCGATGAAATATATAAAATGGCACAAAGGAACGGCATTTGGAAAATTCTTTATTTCAAATTTGAGTAAACCTCTCTACTCTTGTTCCCCCCTTTTATATAACCCAATCCTCTACGAGCTGTGTGGGAAGGTGAAGGTCAAGTGTGATTCATTGCGAAGGACAAACTAAGATATCTTTAGCTCCGTGAAGATGTCATAGATTAAGCAGGTAATAAAGTTAAGTTCATGCGAGTTTATTCATAAGATTGCTTAGGTACGGAGGCATATTTTATGTAGTGACAAGGTAACAATTACAAACTCACTGCGTGTTTTCTTAAAATAAGCTTAGTCACACCAGGCTAATTATGTATACGTCCTTGACTAAACACTGGGAGTCGCAGGATGCAACAAAAAGGATAGTCTCGAATCTGAGACAGTAAAATATTGTCTTGTCCCACGGGACTCGGGCCTGGGAATGACTGCGCTGGCGAGGTCCAGCAGCAATTGTAAATGACAGACTCATCCTCTCGTCAGAGTAATAAAAATCTGGTCATAAGCCACAGATGGGTGGTTTATTCCAAGACAGACTGGTCGACTGCCCAGTAACATAAGACTCAGGTTCGAACTGTTTCTACAGTACAACAAGCACCAAAATTTGGGTGTACAGCATCTGCTGAACTTAGTTCCACCCTGACATTATGGTTTTCTAAAAACGCTGACCCCCTTTATGACATGTCTGTTATTACCTTCACTTCCTGCTAAAAGGTAAGATAGAGGTAAATCTGTCCCGGTGCTTAATTAATCAATCATTATGCCATTAAGTTACAAGACAAGGAGATGCTTTATCGCCACTAGTTTTCAACTTTGCTTTCGAGTATTCCATTTAGAAAGTGAATCTACTGGGTGATAATGTAGATACCATAAAGAAAAACACACAAACTTTAATTGACGCAAGTAAAGAAGTTGGTCTAGAAGGAAACACAGAGAAAACTATGTATATGTTGTGTGTCGTCACCAAAATGCAGGGCAAATCATGACATAACGACAGAAAACAGATGTTTCGAAAATGTGGCAAAGTTAAGATATTTGGGAAAGATGATAACAAATCAAAACTTCATTCAGGAGGAAATTAAGAGGAGACTGAACTAGGGTAATGCTTGCTACAATTCAGTTCAGAACCTTTTGTCCTCTCGTCTGCTGTCCTACGTGAGACTGGTAGCCTCAAGTCCAGGGGCTACCTTTCGTCTGACCCCTCTCATCTGAAATATCTATATTGTGTTGGCGAACCTTCCGGTTAAAAAAAGAGAGATTAATTGCCGTGGGGATCCGTTGCGCTGACCACGTGACACCCTCTATCCGCCAAAGTTGGCACTAACTTCGCCGACAAGCAGCGGTCGCTCGGTCGGTTTATACAGTTCGCTTGCGGACTATAGAACACGGAGTTTGTTTTGTTTTTATTGGTGATCCTTCCAGGACTTCGCCCCACCTGACATGGCTCTCCAAGAGATCTGGACATCGCGTTAAGGCTGTAATCCGAGGAGGGGTCTCCTAAGTAGTCCAAAGGTTTTTTGTAGAATGCTTATTTCCTTCGACTCATCAGACAAAACAGGAGACAGAGGAGAGAAAAGGGAGAGAGACTGAGCGTGTGATTCTCTCTGAGTTCTCTACATTACAGAGTTTAACTTAATGTCATGCTCCTCTTCTTATCACGGCGTCTGTAACAATCGAGAGGTAAGGTAATGCCATCCCTGTGTTTAATTAACTGAGTACATCATGAAATCGCATGGAGGACTGAATGTATAGATACGTGTTTTTTATGTCGGTTTTAGTTGGATGTGAGTGGTCAGCTTCAGGCCCCGGCCGTTTTAACCCCAGGTACCCATTGTGTAGGAGACTAAGTAGGCTCCAGAGCCGGTCTGAGCGACGTGGAGAACGACAATCGAATTCCCACCCGTACGACGTTCAGCTCCTAGCCAGTCGGTACACCGAGGAATCAATCTCGACCCCCTTTTCTATCCCAAACACTGTATAACGCTCTTTCCATTCCAACCAAATGGATGCAATGGAACGTAGTGAATAGAAAGCCTAAAATGTATGAACCCCAATCATTATGTAACCCTCGACATTCTACTTTCATTTTACGAGAATTCCAACATAACAATGTTCACTGTACCCGTACATATAGGTACAGACTGTTTATTCAACACAACAAAGGCAGCCAGGCTTCACGCCTGGATGATGCTTCATTAACTCTCATTTCACAGATTCAGAATTTCATGAGGCAACATCGGAGGTCATAAACATGTGAAGCTATCCCTGCAACAGGCCGTGGTGAAGGCCCACACGGTTGTGAGACGTCGAGGCACCCACATTTTCTCTAGACAATCGGCTCATAGATGGCGGTAAGGTTGTTGCCTTACGCGCCGGTCGCCCTTTACCTTCCAGGAAGATTCCTGGTACTCATTTCTGTTAGAGGCTGAGTCGACTCCAGGGCCACAGTGCGGCTAGAAGTGAAAAAAAAATCCACCCATTGAGACTCGAACCTTAGACCTTTCGGCTTGTAGTGCCTCAACCAACTACGCTACTTTGTGCACCTCCAGAAACACAATAGTTTTATTAATATACCATCGTCACAAACTTTTAATTATTAAGTATCACTTTGTTTAACTTAAGGTTAAAGAAAAACAAACTAATACAGAAAGTCGATTTTGCTTATTACAGAGCACCGAGTAAATAAAACACTACGCTGAGGGTTCAGTTAGCTATACGAAGGTATTTTGCGCAGTGTGCCTCTATTACAGAACATCGTTCTGCATGTAAATAACCGACACGTCCAAACTTAATTACATGGCTCGCGAATCTACGCCCCTACACCACCACACTTCTTAATTAGCGCTCCTCAAAGCAGTGAACCGATAAATTGGGTGCTACTGGTTCCCAAACACAGCTTTTCACTCTGAGGAAAGAACAGACACGGAAAGAGTCTGGAATAAATTTAACAAGTTGCATTTAAGACGGAAATATATATATATATTTGCTTCTTTACAATCTACATCATTACAGAGTATTAAGTAAATGTGTTGCATTTGGTTAGCTCGCAAGGAAAACATCCAGTGATGTTTCTCCTACATGTAGTTTATTTCATTGATTGATGATGTCTTGGGGCCATGTTCTGTTCAGTCTTCTTGTCACTGGACCGTTCGTGTATAGCTCTTCTATTAATTCGTTGTCATGGTTTACAGTTTGGTTTTTGTATCTTTCAGCCATTCTTAGTGTTTCATTTTTGACGAAGGGTGTCTTTAGGTCGTTATGGAGTGTAAGGTTGCTCACATACCGTGGCGAGTCTGCAGTTGCCCTTAGTGCTTTTGATTGGAATCTCTGGATGAGATTGATTGTCGATGGCTTTGCACATCCCCAGAGTTGAAGACCGTAGGACGAAACAGGTTTCAATACAGCTTTGTATAGTAGTAAACGGAAATATATAGGATCAAACTTTAGCGGATAGAGGGTGCCGCGTGGTCAGCGCAACGGAACTCCACAGCCATTAATCCCGGTTTGCTAGACCGGAGCCGCTACTTTTCCATTCAAGTAGCTCCTCAATTATCCTCACGAGGCTGAGTGGACCCCGTTTCGGACACACTACTTCTCAGAAAATCTTGTAGCGCCGGGAATCGAACGCGGTACCTCTGGATCTGTAGCCAGGAACTGTAACCACTAGACCACAGAGGAGATCTCCATTCGATATAAAATCGATAAATATTGTATGGTGACAACCGTCATAAGCAAGGAAATGCAGATTCTTATAATACATATTTTGGGAAAACGGATAAGAATAACATGGCGACCCCAATAAATATTTTGCCTGCTTGCCTTAACCTATAAATTCTTGTAGCATTAGACGGCAAATGTATACACGATCATGTTACGGTTACGATCTCGTAATGCATAAAGCGTGTAACACTTCTGACACTTAAAATCAGTCACGCGAACGCTAAGTGGTAAAGCAGTGCATATCCATCAGTGTGAAAGGTCTGAAAAGCTGTAATTGAACTTTTTAGGGTTAAAAATAGAGGAATCCGCAGTGACCTCGGTGCGTCCCTAGATACAAAATGAAGCGATACATTTGCGCCCTGACCGTAATAGGTCTCAGATGCGATGCGGGACAGATATAAACGGAGCTGTGGTAGCTACTGACCTCTCAGCTGTTTGTCTCCGTCATTACGAAGTACGGTAGTTCCCTGGGGCCGTCGCGGTACGCCACGTCACGGTCAACAGGCTCACTTAACGTAACGTACTGGAACAGTTTACTCTAATTTACAATGAAGTTATACTCGGGACTACAAACTTTCAACTAAGCTCGGGGAAGTATAGGGAACAGTGACGTAACTCAAAATGTTAACGACTAATTAAAATAATATAATTTAAGGAAAGATAATCTCACAGATGTGAACCCAGAGTCGAGAGAAGTTAGGGTGTAATCGTTAAAATTTGAGGATTAGTCAACGAACGCAGCAATATAATCACATATTGAATTCAATTCCGCTCCTCCTACGCGTTATCCAACCAACGTTGAATTAAAATTCCGAAATGTGCAACAGGTATAAAGTTGTCAGTCAGTTA